CACAGACAATTGTACATGGCTGTTTCTATTTAATTTAACCTAGTATTTGAGATCAAAATGATGTCAATGGAAGCAGATAAGAGAACCTATAAGTTATTCTATTTTCTATAATTTCAATTTATATATGAGTATTTTGGGCCCTTAAATTCTAATAAAGTAGGCCATTTAATTTGCCATAACCTCATTGCAATGAAATTAAAACCTTTTTTCTAGAGACAAGGCAGCTCTAGGATTTCTCTAGGGTTTCATCTTTAATTTCTATGCATTTGCTAGACATTTTTTTTTTTTTTTTTGCATTGGTGAGTTGCTTAAAAGATTTGAAGCAAGGCATTGGCTGAAGATAATCATGTGGATTTCTTTTTCTTTATGCATTAAAAAAACAGTAGTATTAAAAATTAAAAAAAGCCTTGGAAATTCATTTTTTTTTTTTTTTTTGGCATTGGTGAGTTGCTTAAAAGATTGAAGCAAGCATTGGCTGAAGATAATCATGTGGATTTCTTTTTCTTTTATGCATTAAAAAAACAGTAGTATTAAACAATTAAAAAAAGCCTTGGAATTTTTTACTTTAAACTCGGGCCCTTAAATTATAAAATTACCTTTGTGGAATAAAATTTGAACTATAAACAGTGATGAAGAGAGAAGAGATGAAAATGAAAGATTAATTAAGTTTTCAAATGTTTTTTTTCAGAAAAAAAAAAGAAGAAATTGATTTGAAAAATCCAATGTTACTTATTAGTTATAGTGTTCTGTCTAGCGATTTGCCTTATCTTTTAAGTATTGCTCATTAATGTACTACAGTTGTGACAATCTTTAATTGATTGTTATATGTATCTAGACAAACATGATAAAAAATAATTATTAAAATATTTATCAACAATTAATTAATAACAATTAATCAAAAATAATTATCAATAATTATTTAGAACAAAAATTTGTCAAAATAATAATACAATTAACAACAATAATTATTAAAATAATATTTAAATATCTGCGAAGCGGTGTTTCGACTAGTTTTTATAGAAGCCAGGGACGGTAACCAGCCCCTTCCATTGCTGAATTCCTATGCAAATCTGGAAATATATATATAAATTAATTTAATGAGTAAACTATAGTTGTTAATAATAGCTTAGGAATAAAGGTCAATCTTGTCCCTAAATTTGTTTAGCAAGATAAAAAAAGTTATATTTAATCTTTTAGGTCAATTTAGCCCTTAAATTTGTATAAAATGATTAAAAAGATTCAATTTCACTTTTTAGATCAATTTAATCCCCGAACTTATGTAAAATGATTGAAAAAATTGTATTTAATATTTTGAGTCAATTTAAACTCTAATTCTTCATTATACTTATAATGTAAAATCATTATATAGATATTTATTAAAATTATAATTGAGATCGAGCCGACTAATTTATTAAAAAATTAATTAATTATAAAATATAAGAAAATGATATATGAAATATATTGTTTCTCTTTTTACCTTAATTGATAGTTTTGATTAAATAAAATATATTATTTAAACATTTTAAAATTAATCTCTATTACTGGGTTATCAATTGTGAAATCAATGCATTTTTCAGGTTGAATAAATTAACGTTCCGTTTGGTATAAATGAATTCAAAATATAAAATTCATTTGTAAATGAATTATTTATATTTGGTATTGTTAGTTTAAAATATGTAATTCAATTAAATTCCACATAACTATGTGTGGAACAAATTCATAATTGAAAATTCATTTACTTTTGTTTCCTAAATATCCTTGAATAATAAATACCAATTATGCTATATAATTTTTTTATACTTTTATTAAAATAAATATAAAAAAAATAATGTTAATAAAATTATTGCATTTAGTTTAGTGATGAATGCATATTTAATTTAAATCTCTCTCCTCAATAGTAAAAAAAGCTCAAAATATTAAATAAAATATGAAAAATATTAAAATAAATAATCATAGAAAAATATTTTTCAAAAAAAAAACTTTTTACATGGTTTTGGTCAAGTTTGATAAATAAATAAATTAAACGAGTGAAAAATTGACTTTATAGAAGGAGAATAATAGTTGTATCATAAAAGGTTGGATGACTTAGTTTTGTGGAATTCATTTGGAAATTCCAACTATTTTTATAGAATTTGGTATAGTTATTTTCAATTATATAGAATTGAATTTCTAGAATTGAAATCTATATTTTTTTTTCATTCCAAATACAAAAATATGGATTTCTAAATGAATTTCACAAAGTTTTATGAAATCATTTGTTCCAAACAAGGAGTAAATTTATAATGCATATTTATAAATTTATTATATTATAAAAAATGATGTTTTATGAATTTTAAATTTATATTCGTATTGGAAAGTTTAATATGAGTGTTCTTAGTATAGGACAAAAATGGATAAAAAGTCAATAATATTAAATTAAATCAATTATTAATTTATAAAAGTAAAATAAGTTCAATGGTTAAATTGATTTATAAAGTGAAATCGAATTTTTTTTAATTATTTTATACAAGTTAATCCTGTTAAATAAGTTCATAGGCAAAATTGCCCCTTGTTCCTGACAGCACATCACAACTAATTATCGGTTCATAAGTACTGACAGAATTATTTATTTACTTTTTTAATAATTTAATTAAGTTTTTTGATATATAAATTGATATATTTTATAAGCCCACGAGAATCTTGAAGTAGTAAAGACTGTGACGCTACTATTCACATGTCAACGGCAATCAGGTGATGTGTGTCGCTGTTGTTGTCTCACACCTTTGTGTGGTGTGGGTGAATATAAATCCATCTATTCACACCAAATTACTGTAATAAAGCTATTTCGAGAGAAGGAGAACATTGTTGGCATGTCAAATGGGGAAAAAAAAAAAAACCTAATAAAAATTTGTAGCAGTTTTGTTGTATTGATGATCTCATATAAGCGAAAATTTCGCAGAAATACTTCAAATTTATTAAGAAATTTTAATCATTTCTTAAATATCTCATTAATGGGGACATAATTGTCAATTTTCGCTTTCAATATTTTCTTTTTTTCAAAAATTTGTCTTTTCAAATAAATAAAAATAAATTTATTTTCTTTCTTCTATCATGTCCAAACATAAGGGTAGAAAATAACCATGAAAAGAAAGTTGATAATTTTTCATTATTTTTCTCTATTAATTTTCTTTTTCAATATTTTTCTTCCGCTCCTCTCAAAACAAAGGGGAAAAACATATTTTAACTATAAGCGGAAAAAATTACAAATTAGTTTTGAGATTAATTAAAAATATTAAATCATTTGTATTATTTAATAAAATCAGTAATTCATCCATGAAATTTAACTTTATTGAACTATTCAGTCATTTATTCTAAATAGATGTGCTCTAACTATTAAATGTATATGAAAATAATAAATATCAAGGATTAAATAATAATTTTATTTTGGATGATAGTGGACATATGTTGATAAAGGGACCCATTGTTATTTTTCTAACGAAAAAGAATTATTTAGCCTTTACAATTTGGTCTAATTCACTATTTTATCAATTTATTTTTAGAAATTAATTAAAAGCTCTAACTTATGAATTTTGCTGTCTAAAATGTAGTATTTTAGCCGTTTTCTATTAAACAAAAGAATATCCAGAATCCCTATCTCTTCAAACCATATCCAATTTTTGTCTCATTTTTGGAGACTTAGCAAAAGTCCCAATTGGATCAATCATCCTTACCTCTTTTCAAATTGGATAGGTTCAGATTGAGATTTTGTCTTCTTTTCAATTTTCATTTTACGTTTCTTTTTGTTTTATGATTTGGTTTGGGTATGTTGAAAGAGATGAAGAGAGAGAAATCGTTTTCGGTTTATCTCTTAAAATAGAATGTTTTTTGGATTTTCAACATGGATTCTAATTCGTGTATTGCAAGGAGACGGAAAAGGGGGAGTTTGGAAATGTCCGCTATATGGTGGTTTTTCCATTAGGGATATTTTTATTATTTATTTTTATCTCTCACCTCTAACCATGCAATGCAACCACAATTTTTTGTACTGAAAAACTATACTTACTCCGTCGTATAGACATATTTGGTTCGATAAAATTAACTTTTTTTTAATAGCTGCTCGCTGTTTTAATAGCGTTTAGCAGTTAATTTTTTATAAAACGTTAGAAGCCAAAAATTATACGAGTTAATTTTTCACAAAATGCTACCTTAAAAGATAGTTCAGAATACTGTAAAAAGTAACCTTTAGTGTTTTGAGCTATTTAAAAACTGTTGCCAAATACCATCATAGACTCACTTTACTTGTTGGTTTGTTTTAAAATATAGTCGTTTTAAACCTTATTGTTTAATTTTTTTATATATTTAATATTTAATATAGATCATAGTATATATTATTTAATATTATAGAGAGATGATTTAAGAAAAAAAAAAATAGTTCAACTATATTAATTTTTTTTTATTAATACATATGAAACTTAGACTAGGCCTCTCTCTCTCTCTCTCTATATATATATATATGGCTGGAAGGAGTATTATTCGGTGATCATAAATTTTATAGAGTATTTAATTAATTTTTGAAAATAAAGAGACTAAATAGTAAATTAGGCTAAATTTTAGTGATTAATAATTCTTTTGCCTTTCTGATTTTCTTTGTGTTCATGTAAATTATTTTAAATGATACATGTAAATTATTTTAAATGATACTTTCTAAAATTAAGATTAAATCACCTTTATAATACGTTGAGGATAAATAGTTGATTTTACAAATAATAAGAACAAATAATAATTTTTGTTAAATTTCAAGGATTAAATAATAATTTTCCATTGATTTTGACTGCCTCAAATTTATAATGAAAGCTGAGAAAAGCTGTACAAATACAAGTAAAGAAAGAAAACGTCCCGTCCTCCGTCTTCCTTTCTCTTGCTTGAACACTATAAATGAAGTGAAAAGCACAAATCAAACTACCCCATTTCTTTCCCAACAAATATACCTCATCAAAGGTTGGTCTGCTTTCTTGCTTTCGTTCATTTATGGAGTTTTCTTTTATCTGCAAACTCTTGTTCATTTCCTACTTTATGCATTTTATAGAATAGCCTTTTAATGGTGTTGAGGAAAATTGTTTTCTGGCCCTTTTGTTCTTGGGTTTTTCTCTGATTGCATGGGAGATCGTGAGAAACTGCAAGTTCCAAAAACAATGCTTTGTTTGAATCTTTTATGATTTTGCATTTTCTCAGCAACCAAACGAGGGAATCTTTCATTTTCATTCTTTAATAAAGTTCATTTTTGATTGCGAATTAGACAGTGGTTAGTCCCATTTTATCTGTTTCTTTGGGGGTGAATGATCATTTTCTTAATTGTGTTTAGACCAGCCTCATGAAATCTGGCATTCAATTAGATAGCTTACAGAAGTAGATAGAGATGCATGTATGGTGATAAATTACATATCGGCAGGCTTTATTTACTTTCTGTTTTGTTGCTGAGAAAAATCCAAGAAAAGGCCATAATTAGGGTGAAAAATTTGAAATTTGCTCCGGCTCCTAGAATTTAATTAATTATTTTTGTAGTTTTTTTCAACTTGGTCATATAGTGGTTGTAGATTTGTGGTCCCAGATAATGAAAGCTACCAATCCTTTCAGGAAGAAATATTTGACAAATTCATTGTTTATTGGGTTAATGGCAAATGGATAAGTGGAAAGAGCGAATTAGAACTTTGTTCCTTAGGTGGCGCAGCTATAGCTATTAGATTTCTTTCTATATAGTATAGTTTATTTTTTTGTCAGTTGATAATTGTTTGACTAAGACCCTTCAAAAATCTGCTTACTTATCTCCATTTATAACCAAAGGAGCTCCTATCTGCTTACATAAGATTTCTTGGTAATAGGGGGTTTTAAATATCTATACTAGTCTGGCTCATTTGGAAGAGTCTGAATATTCCTATAAAATCTTTTCATCTTTTATTTATGCCTTTAAATATTGAAAACATCTTTCAAATTGATATTTGATTACTGTAAATGAACTGCCTAAAGAAGCTGGACAGCAATTTGCAGCATAAGATATGTCTGTCTTTAGCTGGACAATTAAAAAGTAATTTCTCCTTTCCTTTTCATAGGCCTTATTTTGTTGTTTGTGTATTCAAGTAATTACATATAAATAAACCAAAAAGATATTAAAATATTATTTTAGAAGAGTCTGATGAAAAATCAATACAAGTTTCTTGGAATTGTTTTGAGCAAGTGTCTCCAGATATCATTTCCTTAATTTGATAGGATCAGCTATTAAGCAACTTCTATTAGCCACAGCTCACAATTAGTGGATCATACCTGTCAAATTGAAATGGTTGTTTCCTGTGCTTCCTAAAGTTTATTTCTTTAATCTATTTATGTTTGACCCTCTAGGGACAGTTGTTCATATTTTGTATGGTTTAGTACTAATGAGGTTAAGTGATAGTACAACCACAATCTTTATAACTTTGTAAACATTTATTAGAAATCAATTTGTTGATTTAGAAATTCATTCCATTGAGTCTCATACAATCTTGAACTGCTTGCTGCGACACGAAATTATTATCTCAAACAGTAAGATGCAGCTGGACTACAGTTAGCCTTCATTGTGTAGCTATCCTTTTTGGAAAATGCATATTTTGCTGTTTATTAGTATTCGTTCTACTCGCTGGTATGAATGAATTCTGAATTCATTTGAAATTTCATATTTTTATGTTTGGTTTAAATGAAAATGTCCATTTCACTCGCATCAATTCAATTTTATGTAATTCAGTATACCTAAATAAGTTTCCGTCATTTATAAATGAATTCTAAACTTTAATTTCATTTGTAACAAATAAAGGGTAAGAATTTTGTTTAATTTCTAATTAAAGAAATGAAGGATCTTTCAGTTACACCAGCTAAGTATTAGATCTAGGCTTTGCCAAAAGCTATTGGGCTACCACTGATGTCATCATTTTGTGTTTTTGGTGTCAGTAGTTGTGTTTCTGATTGTTTATATTTGTATATTAAATTTTTCCTTGTTTCCTTGTTGGTGGCATGCAGGTGGAATTTTTTTTCTAGCAGTACCACTGGCTAACCTGTTCATTTTCAGAAATTTTTTTGACTGAATCATGTTAGTTGCTTTCAGAGATTGCTTTTGTATAAAGAGGACTAAATACACACCGGGATATGAGGAACCTACTGTTCTTGCTGCTGAAACACCTTGTTAGTTTGCATTATCATTATACTGATTCTTAAAGTTTATTTTGCCTCTGCAAAGTTTCTAGCTAGGCTTCATTCTCAATAATTTGTTATGTAAAATGATCTTTCCAAAGTTCTTGCATTTATGGCTTTACAATATTTTAGGATGCACCACTTGTAGCTTGGGTGCCATATGGTTTCTCTCTTGGTATGGCTATTGATTTACATGAAATGAATAATGACTGTCAGTTATTTGAAATATCTCTCTTGCAGTTACTGTTAGTGAAGTAGAGGCCTTGTATGAACTTTATAAGAAATTAAGCAATTCAATATTTAAAGATGGGCTTATTCATAAGGTATAGGAATTACGTAATTTTTATACCTGTTATATATGTTAATATATGCATACACAATTATGACATGGTATGTTCTCTTCTGATCAGGAGGAATTTCAGCTTGCCCTTTTCAGGAACAGAAATAGAAAGAATCTTTTTGCTGACAGGGTGTGTACTGCTAGGCCTCTCTCTCTCTCTCTCTGTCTCTCTTCTTTGGTCTCTTTTGAAATATTGAGATATTTAAGTTTATTCTTGTGCTTAAAATGAGTGGATTGTGTCATATGTTTCATGTTTATGTATTTGCAAGGCAAATGCTTGCTTTTTTTTTTTACCACAAAGCTGCCACATTCTGCAATTATGCTTCCTCTTTTCAAGTTGCATCTATATTTGTACTTTTGTAGGTCTTTGATGTGTTTGATATCAAGCGCAATGGAGTAATTGAATTTGGAGAATTTGTTCGATCACTGGGTGTGTTTCATCCCAATGCACCTGTTGAAGACAAGATTAAATGTAAGATTGATTTCTCTACTTGGAGATTCTTGTAGATTGGTAAACAATATGCAGATAAATTTTGTCCTTACTTATGCAGATAAATTTCCTTTCTTTCATCTTTTTTTCCTACTAAGGTATATTTATCTGGACTTATTGGACCATAATAACCGAAATTAGTTGCCTATATATATTTTTTTATATTCTACTGAATACATTATCATATACTAAGCTGTGGAGACTTATTTTTTGCAGTTGCTTTCAAATTATATGATCTAAGGCAAACTGGTTGCATTGAACGAGATGAGGTCAGCTCTATGTGTTCTCTTGCTTTTTCATTCCCTTGTTTAACATTCTTCAAAATCATGCACACTTCAATTCTTTTTATTTACTTGTTAGAATCTCACTGTTCTTGTTTGTGATTTTGAAAACTTTAGAAGTAGCAGTATTGTTGAGAAATATGGTGAAAACAGAAAAGATTCTGACTTGTAACAGTAATATTTATAGCCTGATGTATTTTTATAATTTTTTTTATTGTCTGATAGTTGAAGGAGATGGTGTTGGCCCTTCTGCATGAATCGGATCTGGTCCTGTCGGATGATGTTGTTGAAACAATTGTGGATAAGGTACAGATTGGTTTGCTTGTCAAACCCTGTTAATATATGTTTATTTGGTCTAGATATTCTGACTTGTAAAATTCTTTTCCAGACTTTGAATGATGCAGATACAAAAGGTGATGGAAGAATTGATCCGGAAGAGTGGATGGCATTTGTGAAGAGGAATCCATCCCTTTTAAAGAACATGACTCTGCCATATTTAAAGTAAGTAGCAACAACCAGGCATAATTTGTACTTTGTACCATTCTGAAATGCTCAACTCAACTAAACTATAATCCAAACTAGTTGAAGTCAACTATATAGATTTGTTTACTTGATTCCACCTCAGTCAATGTGGTACAAAGTGATCTGATCCACCTGAATTGATAAGGCGAATGAGATTAATCTTGAAAGTACATCGGGACTGAGATACGTCGATTTAGTCGCAGAATCACTCGACTAGCGATTTTAAGTCTAAAATTAGTGATTTATATGTTTCTAAAGTTTTCCTGGGTAATGTTGGTTGCCAATAATGATCCTTGATATGCCCATTCATTTCCTTCAGGGATATAACAATGGCATTTCCCAGTTTCTTGGTATCTTCTGAAGTTCAAGATTCGGAAATCTGATTTAGATAGGCATGTTAAAGATACTCAACCATATCATCTAATGATAATTACTTCTTCGTAGAGGAATTTGAATCAGCATGATATTCAATTCCAATGATGTTGCAAGGGTTTGAAAGCAGAGTTTACACCGTACATGCAGCCAAGATCAGGTCCACACAGAGCAACTTCATTATACTATCAGCTTAACCTGTTCTGCTGAAGGAAACTTGATACGGGTTTCCTGTATATATATACATTTTGCATATGCCGCAGCTGAAATTTTGTGTTAGGAATCTTTAGAGTGTATATTTAGGTTATAGCTTGGAAAAAAAATCTACATTTTGTTAGAGCTATAGAACTTATTCTCGGGCCCTCAGCTAAGAGGTACAAGCTTGTGATTTTTGGCAAGAGTATTGTTATGAAATAAGTGGATGTCCTGTACGGTTTAGAAGTGTGTATTCTTAATTATTGCGAATGATTTGTGTAGTACTCTATTAGGGTTCCACTTATGTAACTAAATATATGTTGCTTCTTATAATAATAATTACACTCTCGTATTCCTCTCTATTTTCTTTATTCTCTCTTTATTTCTCTCTTTATTTTTCTATTATTTTATAACACGTTATCAGCACGATTGTTCTTCATTCTACCGCTTCGAATCGCTCCCTTGATCTCCCTTGATCAAATCACTTAAAGAAAGGTGATAGCTTGTGTTTTGCAAAAACAATCGCTCCCTTGATCTCCCTTAATCAAATCACTTAAAAAAGGTGATAGCCTGTGGTTTGCAACAACCAAAATTAAGATCGGTGTAATTCAAATTTGTTCAAGGTAACTCTATATACCCTTTCTTAACACTACAGTTATTTGATCAAATAATTTATTGGTGAATCAAAATTCAATTACTATAACTAATTAACAAATTTATAGATCTATGGTCGAAGAAAACAAAAGGTTTGATTTTTATGTATATGATTCTTTCAAATTAAGGGAGGCCGTTATATATATATATATATAATCGATCCTTATTTGTTGGTATCAGAGCCATCCCTTTAAATATCTGCTAGCAACTATACCATAGAGAATACATTTGAAAATATCATAGATAGTTTTAGAGAATACATTTGAAAATATCATAGATAGTTTTGGGTATGCCAACTGAACCTGTGGATAGCCAAATGTTGGGCTTAGAAAGGGTATAACAGGCAGTGACCGCAACTTGTTATACATTTGAAATATCATAGATAGTTTGGGTGTTTATGCCAATTCTGAACCTGTGGATGCCAAATGTTGGCTAGAAAAGGTATAACAGCAGTGACCGCACAACTTGTTGAATCCTAAAATGGGATCCTTTATTGTGTAGATTCTGTTAGTAGTTGTTAAATCGGATTGATTCTGAATCTTCAGAAATAAAGGAAAGTAATAAATAGAAATGAATTAATTTTACAAGATTTTTAGTTAATTTTACAAGATTTTAGTAAAGCAATTGATGAATGGGAAATACCTAAAGTAGATAAAGAACAAATTTATAAAGTTTCTAAATTTAATTTGTGGAAAACTGATTATGTCATAAAAACAGAAGAACGAGATTTTCAATTAAGTAAACCATTTGAAAGAATTACTCTTCTCTCTTCTAAAACATTATAACAACATAAAGCTAAAAAATATAAGTATATTCATATAGGATTAATCCAAGTAGGTATAAAACCTTTAACTCGTGAAGGATTAAACACAAGTATATTAGCAGTAGTAAGAGATGCTAGATTTTTAAACTTTCAAGATTCTTTGCTAGGATCAGTTGAGACTAGTTTAAGTGAAGGACCCATATCCTTTGAAGTATACCCAGATATGACTATCTCATTAAATAATATAAACATTTTAGAAAGTATGGTCTTAGAAATTAAAACCCATAATTATAAAATGAAGCAAGGATCAATTCCTATAGCATTGATATATAAGATTCATTAAATAAGATTCATTTTAAAGTTAATGAATTCAGCATTTGGTACTAAATATAAGTTTACGCCTAAAGTAGGAGAAAACAAGATCCTACAGACAGATTTAACTAAACAATACAGTAATTCCTAAAACCATTCAATGGAAAGACATCACATTACCAGAAGAATGGATCTTAGAAGGAATAGTACCCCCTCCAATTCCAGAAAAGGTAAAACCGAATATAAATTTACAAAAAATTGAGCAATATGAAGATGGTAAGGTAACACTAAAATTTAATAGAAGTCAAAGTTCCAGATATACAGGGTCATCATCTTCTGTAGTTACAGATGACAATGAAAAACCCTCTTCTTCTCATATACCCTCTGTCATTTATGCAAAATATAAGGATACTGAACCTAAACCCATTATTCAAACATTAGTAAAACCCAGATATTCTACTTCAGATATCCCAGATTTAAGTCAGTCTCTTAAAATGAAAGGTGTTGATTATAGCTCTTCAATTCCGCAAGCAGTCTATAATCCAATAGAAAACTATGTAAATCAGCAGTCGCATTTAGCTAATTCATCACCTGAATCACCCACAGTTTCAACCATAACTGAAAATATACAAGAAATAAATAGGGAACTGAATGTACTTAGTAAAGAAGACATTGAAAAAGGACTAATAAAAGAAATAACAAAAACCAAAAATTTGATGAAATTAAACAAGATACTAAAAATTCATACCTTTGAGGATTTAAAATATGAATATTTAAATTATAAGTTACAAACTCAAACTAAAATCAAATTCTTTGATTGGTTTGCATTAACTAAAGAAGATTGTTCCAATAAAAGTCTAAATCCCATCACTGTTAGAGATAAGAGACCAGAATGAGAGATAAGCGACCAGAATGGATTGTAAGAATGGATTGTAAATGATAGAACAATACAAAGTGATTTTCCACCTAAAACAATTAGTAAATTAAAATATCAAGATAATGAAATTATTTGTGCCCCATATAAGATAGCTAGAGATAATGATACAGATAAAAAACTAATAGAACAAAATAATTTTAGTAATGCAAGTTTAATTTGTTTAAATACACAACTAAAACGAATAGAAAACTTGTTAGAAGAAAAACCAACTATAGATGATCATGTAAAAGGTAAAGAAAGAATAAAATCTCATATTTTTAAACCATATCAAATTTCTCAATCTAGTCAAAAGGAATTCAAAGATAAATTCGTGGGAACATTAAAAGATCAGCTAAGTAAACTCGAATTACATTCAGAATCTACGCAACAAGTAGCACCTGAAACCCCTCAAACATCTAGAAATATAAATATAATATAATAGAAGGAAACTCTCACTCTGAAATCAGTGAACCTGAGTCTGAAGATATAAAACAATTTGAAATCAACCCAATATCACATAGAGAAATAGTAAATAGAGCACCAGATTTAGGCTTAATAGATAAACCAAATCACATATCTCAATTCCAAATATAATGCTACTACAATTTATGAATGGAATATAGAGTGGATTATCTGAATATAATATCTTAAGTATATTGCAACAAATGACTATGGCAGCTAATGCTTATAAAACTCAGTTCAATTATATCAAGATTTAGGGCTATAGCAGAAATATTATAGCAGGATTATAGGCCAAATTAAAAAGGGTTGGTGGGATTTCACCTAACTGACCAACGCAACATTTAGAAATATTAAATTCCATTTCAAGTTAAATAGTGAGGAGAACCAATATATGATTGAATGGTTGAAACCTTATTCAAGATGCAGGTCAACCATTAATCTCACGTATCTTACAGTAATTTATAGGAGACCACCCATTTAAAGAGTAAAATGCCAGATAAGAATTAATTAAGCAATCTAAAATGTAAAAAATTAAAATGTAAAAAACTAAGTGACTTTCAATATTATAAAACTACTTTCCTTACTAGATTAATGTTAAGGGAAGATTCCAATCAAGCCTTTTGGAAAGAAAAATTCTTAACCGGATTACCTTTCTTCTTAGGCGAAAAAGTTAGAAATTATATAAAACAACAATTTGGCAATCCAATCCCTTATAATAAATTGACATATGGGCAGTTAATCAGTATAATTCAAAAAGAAGGATTACAAATTTGTCAAGACTTAAAGCTTCAAAGAACTTTAAAATATGAGTTGCACAAAACTAAACAAGAATTAGGATCTTTTTGTAAACAATTTGATTATGGCATGACATCTACTCAGAGATGCAGAGGCCAGTGTTCTGAACCACCTAAACCTAAAAAACACTATAAAAACAAGAACCTAAAAAACACTATAAAAATAAGTATTATAAAAGGCAATACAAGTCCAAACCAAGTCACGATAAATACTATCAAAAAGAAAAGTCAAAACCTCATAAGAAATATAAAAGAAAGCAACCACATAAATCTCCAAATAAAACTTCTTATAAAGATTTAACTTGTTATAATTGTGGTAAGAAAGGACATACTTCAAAATTCTGTCGATTCAATAAAAAATTAAATAAAAAATTAAATGCATTTAAATCTAGAAGAAGAATGTTAAATCAAAATTCACGAATGTATCTCGATTCAGACACCTCAGAAATCAGAGGTATAGAAAGCGAAAATCAAATTTGATGGAATTAGGAACAACAACTAGTTTCTTCAGAGGCAAACCATAAACATGCTTAAAACATGCTTACTAAAGATCAAAGTACACTTTTAGAAGTGGTAAATACTATAACTGATACTGAAACTAAGACACAGCTCCTTAAAAAATTAATAAACAATTTTGAAGAAGAAAAGGAATTAAAAGAAATAACCCCTAAACTACAAACTAACACTTATGATTTGACTACTATATTAAATAAAAATAAGAAAATAGAAATGGAAATCTCCACTAAAGAATTACAAAAAGAAATTAGAACTCTAAAACATGAAGTAAACGACTTAAAATTACAATCTCAACAAAATGCTAAGAAAATAAAGATATTAGAATCTCAAATCATATCTAGTTCTGTTCTTCTTCTGAAGAACCAGATGATGACATAAAAGACGAAATAAACCAACTAGAAGAAGAAGAAGAAGTAAATCCTAATTTTCTATTTTTATTTCAAGAAATTACTTCAAGAAAATATTTAGTAAAAATAAACATTAAAATAGCAAATGATTTTATCATAGATGCAATAGCATTATTTGATACAAGAGCGGATTTAAATTGTATAAAATCAGATTTAGTAAAAAGATATTGGTTAGACACTAAAGAAAAATTAAGCACAGCAAATAAAACCAAATTAGATATAGTGGGTAAGGTAGAAGCACTAATTATAAACCAAGATTTAGAAATAAGAACAGTATTTTTAATTTCTCCCCAAATAAATTATATGGTAATCTTAGGAACACCTTTTATAAACCTAATAACACCTTATTCAGTTAAGGAAGATTGTATTAAATTCAAAATAAGAAATAAAAAGGCCAGACTTGAATTTACAGAGCGACCTAAGAAAAAGAACTTAAATTTACTAAAAGCTCATTCTATTAGGACAATAGAAATCAATTCATTAATAAAATCCAAAGAAGAAGACTTAAAAGATTTAAAGAATAATATGTGTTTACAAA